ACCCATTGGCAAAATGGTAAAATTAAAAGTGTGTTAATGTCATCACGTCATGAGCTCACACTAAAATTTTTTTAGGAAGTCGGATAAATTTTTTATTCAAAAAATTATCCTCAAAAAAAGAACTCCAGAGCTAAGTCACGTAAAGCGAGAGCATGAGCGAGAGCGAATTCCAGAGCAAGAGCGTGAAAGCGGCAGAATTAAGTCATAAATAGTGAGAATTTGAGCCAGAATGCACGCGGAGCAGGAGCGCTCTTGAAACATGAGAGCGATACCCGTTAAGAAGGATTGCGTGACTTAGCTCCGCAGCTTTTAGAAGAAATCTTCCTCTCATTAATCCGTAAAAAAAAATAAAAAAATTGTCTTCCACTTATAAGAATGGGCACATGATACTACTCAATAATTTAAATTTTTGAATCAAATGACAAGTATCAAACTCTTACAAGTGATATCAGAGCAAACCTAATCCTTGATTTGATATTATATCGAATGCCTATCTGAACAATGCCTATTTGAACGGTTTGTGAGATGGTTACAACAATATATTCGGGGCTTTGCTTTGCTTTGTTTTCTCTAAACTCAATACACAATTTACTAGGGACAGAGCCAATGTAGGCATGGGGCACGTGGCCCCCTAACCTGGCCGAACATTATAATATATGCGGTATTATTATTTTTTGTTTCATATATATGAAAATTTTAAACAGTGTTCCTCCTAAATTTTGTGATTTCTAATATTCTCTTTTACTCTTTAAATTGTCAAAATTTCCTTAAAAAAAAAAAAGTCAAAATTTTCTTTGGAAACTCTTAACTTTTTCTTTTTAAATTTTTTTTTTCTTTTTCTTTTTCTTTCTCTTTCTACTTCTACGCCTTAAAATTCTTCTACTTAACACGCTTATTAAATCATGCATACACACTCCCATTTGTTGGATCGGATTCCATTTGAAAGAAGAATATACCACGTAACTAACTCATGACGTAGTTGATTTTTAAAATTTTATAAGCAATTAGTACTCATTGCGTCACTAAAAGCAACAATTATTTAAAATTAGTTTAATTTCAATTTTATTTATTTATTTAATTTATCTTTTTGAATTTGGTACTAGATACATTACTTAATGTCATCAAAAGTTGAAAAAAGAAGATACGAATGAAAATTGTCCCTTTTCACACGCACACAAGTGTTGAGAAAGCCTACTTATTTCAAGGGACTTTTACGTAATTACACAAAATTAACATGACTAATTCTGAACTGGTTTGTTGTTGATGAGAAGTCTTCGCCAAGTCTTCGCCAATCTTTTTAGGTGGAAAATGACGAAATTTATGATGACAAGTAATCATATTCTCACCCACCACAAGACATGACATATCTCACATATGGGGCCACGTGGCGCAACAGCACATTTTTCCCGCATATTAACCCATTGTTTATTGGCTGTGACTCGGAGAGCGTGAACTACAGGTAACGAACCAGCTTTTTCCGAGAAAAAGTTTCCCGGAAAATTTTGAAAGTTTTGAGTCCGCTTCTTAGAATCTTCCTGATTGGAATATAGGAGGCGTGGGCCCCATATAACGTGCCACGCGTCCGCTTCATCAAGTGCGTGTCATGTGGATGCTAATTTTTTTGTTTTGTTTTGTTTTTGTATTTTCTTGATATTTGATAAGATCACGTTCCATACTACAGTGGTTATGTGCAACCACTTCATTTTTTACCAGCAACTTGCTATCACCGGTTCTAAATATCACACTTGTCAACATTTTTAAAATATATATATTTCGAATAAGAAAAAAAGCTAAAGGGAAGATAAGAAATAGAGTAAAATAATGTCAAATAAATAAATAAAGTGAAGTAATATATAATTCTATTTAATTTTTAGGAATAATTTTTTATTGGAATTTCCATCGTTAACCTTTTATTTTTGTATTTGTGTCATATATCTTAATTTAAACTACAATTTAACAAATAAGATTCATTTAAATGGGCTAACTACCTAACTTTTTATTGAAAAGTTATCTTGAAATTTTTAGTTCTGATAAATTCAACTAGTAAAATTGTTGGACAGGAAGAAAAAAACTAGTAAAAAATTGGTGAAATATTAGATTAACATTAAAAAATTCAGATCAAAATTTTAATTTTATTAGACAACGTTTTATTTTTAAGCTGTCGATGTGATAATGTAGTGCATGTATTTCTTTTATCATGTACCTTAATTTTTATAAAAATAAGAACTCGAATGGTGCACAATCCTTTGTAAGATACGAACATGGGATATGGATACGACACGATATAAATACGTTGACACGTCAAATTTTAAACAGTTAGGGCATGGATACGGCTTGGATACGATTATATAAATATGAATTTTTATTTATATATATGTATTAAGTAATAGTATTATTAAACTTTAATTCATTTTTAATTTTTATACTAAGAGTTGTAATGACTTTTATATTGTATATATACAGTTATTTTACTACTTTATCATAATAGTGTTTTTTATTTTAAATGAATATATATCATTTAATGCGTCGCTTGTGATTATATGTGTATAATGTCAATTTTTCTTTAAAAAAAAGTTGAACACTTGAGAATGTGTCGGTTTAAGTTTTCAATAAGTGTCAGCAAGTGTCCGAAAGTGTTCGGAAATGTCCAAAATAATAAAAATTTATTTTATTTACGGATACATATATAAAGTATTGGACACGTATTCGAAGAGTGTTCGACAAGTGTCGGTGTCTGACATAAACACCACACGACACGAATACAAATCTTTGGAAGAAATGTCCGTGCCTCTTAATGTACAATTTAATTTAACATCAAATGCCATCATTGTAAATTGATTGTAAACTAAAGGTTGGAGCTAGTACTATGAAGAGGTGGAGCTAGTGGGCCACCAAATTTTTTTTTGAGGGGGTGTCATTAAAGAAAATAAAATAAAATAAAATAAAAATCAAAGATAATTTTTTTAAAATAAAAAAATAAATACAAACATAATTTGATTGATAATACTTTCGTTTGTTAAATTTAGAATTATTCTTAATGAATTTTTATATGAGTAAGATTTTTAGGATACAGGGAGTTGCAAAACGAACTGAGATGAGCTGAATTTTCATTTGTCTAAGTCTGAACTCAATTTTGATCGGTAAGTTCAAGCTCAATCTTGCAATCAAGATTGTTAAGGAGACAAAAATAACTATAATCTTCACAAAACATATGTTAACAAGTTCAACAAGTCGGATCCACTTCGAATATGGCCCAGCAGTTTACTCCCTGAACTTTAGAGCTTCGCTGCTCCTGCAGTGACTTACTCGTCCCGAGTGGAAAGATGTCATTTCGAATTCTCGGGGATTAGTCTGATTGTTGAAAGGTTCGTGTCATTCCGGACACTTCGATTAACTTAAAAAAAAGAAGTTCAACAAGTCGGTCCATGAATTGTTCAGGTTTGATTTATTTATAAGTCGAGCTTAAAAATTGAGTTTTAATTCAACTCAATTTGTATGTTGACTAAACAATATTTAGCTGAGCTTTAACCAACCCAAACTTGAGCCATTTATGAACGGTTCAACTTGTTTGTAGCCTTAATATCATACTATGGTTAAAGTAAATAACAAACCATCTAACAATCTTGATGATCGCGATTGTTCAAAAACTAAGAAGTTAAATTACGTAAATGATTTAATTGAATAGGTTGCATAAAAAAACAAAGAAGGTTAATTGATTTACCCCTAAAAAAAAAATTTAATTAAATTTTCCTTTAACTTCAAATTTTTTTTTTATGTTTTTTCTTAAGTTATGTTCGGTTGCATGAAATTTGAGATTTGAAATTGAAATTGATAGAATTGGAGAAAAATAACTTACAAAATTGAACTAAAATTTTTTCTAATCCCACCAATTCTTATTTTAAAACTCCAATTTCATACATCCGAACACAACTTTAAAATAAAATTATTCTTCTGATCTACTCCATATTACAAGTTTACAAATAAGGACAACAACATCTTTGTTAGGTGTTGTAAATGGTAATCAACAGTTGTTGTTTTGGAATACATTTAATTAACCAAGTGATCACTATAAAATTGGGAGGCCGAACTCCAAGGCCAAAAAATAGTTGTTTCAAGAGGAAAGGTCCCCCAAATAACTTGCATATTATCCCTGAACAAGGTTAATGTGCACATTTTTTTTTTTTTTTTTATATAGTTCAAGAGAGTCCAAATATGTATATATATATATATGAGATTTTTTTAAAATATATATAGCAATTTGACGACTTATTTGTTGATAGGAACTTGCTTGTAAAAATAATTAGAGGTGATTACTGATATGATCAGATCGGATTGGGTATTAAATCTAATTCAATTCGATCTCCTATATATTGGTAAAAATTGAATTAAATCTGATCCGTTATTTTACGAATTCGTTATTTTACGAATCGAATGAAACCTTTTTACCAATCGGATCTGATTAGTTTCACATATTGGACTTATTTCACACAACCCAATATTATTATTTTTAACTATGTCTTAGTAAATGAAATTTCAAAATTTAGTAGGTCTTTTACGGATAGGGTTAAGAGTTAGTAAAATTAAAAATTAAAAAAATAGAAATAGCATGTATATGTGTGTGTGTGTACATATTATACATAAATTTGAACGAATCTAATTGGATTGGTTAACGAATATGATTGATTTTTTTAAGACTTAGATCCGTGTATTACAGATTCCTTATTTATTAGTTTGTAGCTGAATTATAAGAATAAAGAAAAAATCCAATCGTATTGGATAAAATTGATTTTGCAGATCAAATGAACAATCCTAAAAAAAACAGTAATTATCTGCTATAATAAAGGCAATACACAGTATTTATTACTTATAATTCTGATAATGTACAATTAAACCCCCCCCCCCCCCCCCCCCCCCCAAAAAAAACAGAGGACATCTGTTTGTCTTACACGTGTCAGTAGATAAATGACTGGTCACGTATTTAAGGTCGTCGTTGAGGGTGAGTTAATGAATAGCCCGAGTCTACTCTTATTTGTAGTTATAATCCACAGAGAAGTATATTGACTGCTGGATTCTCTGAGATTGAAGGTACCAAAATTCTAGGGTTTATGTTCTCCACTCTCTGTACCGGTAAGTCTTCTGTATGAGATTCTCAATTTTGATCCGTTTATTCGGTTTATATCTCTACTCTTTCAATCCTTCCATGTGTGTGTTTCTGTGTAGACATGCATGTGTTGTACGTGGCTTGTCTGATTTCTGTGTCTTGAGAATTTTTTTAGATTGATTGGTATTGTTGTCATTTTCTCCGCTTTTCTTATTCTATTATTTGAGGAATTCTCTATGAAAAGATTGATTCGTGATGTTTTGCTAATGGGGTCTTGAAGAAACATGACGGTTAGGAGTGTCAGATTCAGGATGACGTTTTGGATTTATTTTTGTTTATTTTCTTTCATGGGTTTTTATTTTTTTTTCATGGGTTTTTACTGAATGGTAAATTGGATGAATTCTTGGGTTTTTTTAAGTTATGACTTTGCAAAAAGAATTGACAGTGCAGCATTCAAGTAGATGGATTGTAGGTTGTGATGCATGTTGAATGTATCCAAGGTTTTCTGTTTCTGAGTTAAGGTGTTCCAAGTTTTGGATGCATATGTATGTACTTGGGTAGGTTTGCATGTGTATTATATACAGATGTGCAAATCAATATATTAATTTTCAATATATGTAGATCAAATAAATCGAATGTACTCGTCCCGTGCTTTACACATGGGTGCTGCATACTTTGGATAGTTGTATCAGAATTGAATTCAATGAGTTATGTGTTCGACCAGAAGAGATGATAAATAACTTATAAATTACATGAACATAGACAGACCATTTTATTAGAAGCGCAATGCTTAATTTTCATGATTTATTTAATATAGTAGTTGAATTAAACTTAGAAAATATATAAAATCTAAAAGTACTCAAATTCAGTGGAGTGCAATTATTAAGTGTATCAAAGTGAATTAAGTTCAAACAAAAGCGGAAGTTTTAAATTTAACTTATCTGTACATTTTGCCTCATGATCATTTAATTTGGCTGTTCCAAACTTGTCAATTTTAATCTGCTATTCTAACCCTGAAAAACAAGTTGTTGTTCACAGAACATTTATGAATTTAAAGCTACATTGTCTTAAGGAAAGCCATATCCAACTCTCAATTTGTCTGAAATAACATATGGTTTGCATTCGAGGCAGGGCTCTGAGATGAATCTCTAAATGGGAACCTTACACATTCGGGTACAAGGTCTAAGCCACTTAAGCCCCAAATTCTTCCTTCAATACTTTTTTCTTGAACATTCTAACCAGATTATCCAGAAAGCATTATTCAAAAGCCTTTTACAGCCTTGTCACGATTTATGAATGTATTTTTAGTTTTCTTCCGTATATGCCCAACCTATACAAGGGCTTAAGTATTTCAGCTGCATTGTATCCTACGATGGGAGGGGTCTGTACCTCCTTTAGATAGATACAGCCCCCGTGCTTCTAATGTATAGCTAATTCTACTGCTACCGTGATATCCACTAATATATGAGAAGAAGCCCTTTGAACCACATTCTAATTACTGTTCTTTCCCTTCTTTCCTTTGTCGTGACAAGGGGGTTGTGGTTATGATTCTCCATTTTCTACTCTCTGAAGCTGGATTAAGGTGCCCTCTTTTTCCACTGGTCAAAGATTTTCTCTGAACTTTCTTCCCCAATTTAGGATATTCTTGTGTATGTTTTAGGTTAGGATATTAAGAAATCGAGTGTTTTTTTTTTAAATTGCTTACAAGGAATCTGGAAACATGCATTCACAGTCCTGGACTGCATATCCTTCTAAAGCAGTGTTGGGATTTATGAATGAATTTGGAGTTTCTCTCCTTTTGAATGTTCTCTTTTTGAAGATTTTGTAAGAACTTTATTCATTAATTTGGACTTTTCTTGTATATGTTGTAGGTTGGGGTAGTGAATTGATTTTTTAAGAAGAAATCTGAAAGCATGCGGCCAAACTCCGAGAGTGCAAAGCGTACAGGAGTTGATTCATATAATATTTCACCTTCCACAGTGTGTTCTGAACGTTGGTGGCGCAGTTCTGGTCATAACTCCATCCCCTCTGCTGTGATAGCAACTAATGCATCCAATTCATATTCTCTGGAACAATCTAAGGATGGCCAATCAAAATCTGATGGTGGGTTTAATGAGAAAGAAGACGCTGTTGAAGAATCACGCGTTACTTCACCTCCAGGTTCAGGTATTTATTCAAATTACAATAGCATCAACTGCTGTAAGATATATCTCTCAAAGACACATTACCAAATGATTGACTGTGGCGGTCAGACTTTATATCACATGGTTCCAATAAAGACCTTTCTACCCTCAAAGATCTCTCACATGATAACGATTTGTTTTTAGTTTCTTAAGTTGAGATTTTACACATGATTAAACTACTGATCAAAGAAACTCGTTGAGGGTTTCAGATTTGTTATTGCTTTAACATGAGTGGGGCATAAAGATTAAATCTGCCTTCCTTTACTGAACCTGTTATTAGTTACACTTGGATTCATAAGCAAATACGCAAAAAGAATAAATCCTTTGAAAGAAAAGGAAAAATGAATGGCACAATGGCCATAAATCTCCCTATTGCATTTAGATATACTGTATGAATGCACACGTATACATATGTATGGTATATATGTTCATTTAAATGAATGCGCTCCTATACAAGCTGAGAATAGATAAATTCCATCAGAGAAGGCTTAATAATATTGAAACGACAAGTAATATGAGCCAAACAATATGAACCAGGATTCTAAACGTAATGCTCGTACTATGCACATAGCGTAATGCTTTTACTCTTGAGAGTATTTGTGGGGTTTTTTTTGTAATTAACCAAACATTGATCATGTGTGAGAGAGAGAGGAGTTTGAGATGGACACTCTTGGTAGGATTGTTTTTAGGAAGAAATCAATAAGGATTAGGTATTTAGTTCAAAAATAATTCTTAAGAGTCCTTAGTCATAAAATAATAGTTATTAGTTATTTAATGTAGAAAAAGAAGAAGAAATGTATAGAACTTCTAGGTTCCTTTAATAGTAGCATAGATATTGATATAGATATGTATGTATGTTCAATGAGATAGTCTTGGCTTTGGCATAGCAAAGTAATGTGGGAGCAGGTGTGGAGGTTGTTGGAACGCACTTGTAACCTGTATACTCTAGGTTTTTAACTTTTAAGGTTTATGGTATGTTGGGTGCATCAATTTTTTTTTTTTTTTTTGATAAGTATATGTTGGGTGCATCAATTGCGTGGTTGCACAAGAAAAGTGTTGCTAGCAAAATAAATTTGTTGATTATATGGATCTCGTTTATTTTGTTGTAATTATAGAATTTGCCTCAGCTAGAGGTTTATTTCCATTCCACCCACCCCCCAGGGCAAGAACCATGCATATAGAATTTGCCTTAGGCTTGTTCAAGGGTTTTTGACCATGGGCTCGAGGATTTTTTCCACCCACTCCCGCCCGAAAACCACGCATAGTGCATGCTTCTAAGTTACATTTTTTTGTTTTATAAGTAAGAATATATTAGAAAGTGTTCAAACAGGGGAATGCATCCCGAAAGCTACAAAAAGGTGGAATCCAAAGAAAAAGGGCCCAAGGACTCAAGGAACCCCAAAAATCAACTTTCTCCTCTACAAATTTACAATTTCTCCCTGTCCCCCAACTAAAAAGAGAAGTAATAATATGAAATTTCAAAGCCCCAATGGAGGATTCCTCCCGGTTGAAAGATCTTCTATTCCGCTCCTAACAAACGCACCACCAAACAATATAGGGTGCCGCCCTCCAAAATTCACGGGTGTGGGCTCCCATAAAACAGCCTCTCCAAGCGTCAATCAAACCTCTTGAAGACCGAGGCATAATCCACTGGACGCCGAACAAACCAAAAATAAGGCTCCAACAGTCGTGAGCCACGGGGCAATGCAATAGGAGGTGATCCACAGACACTCCATCCCTCTTACACAAGCAATACCAATTGACAGTAACCTGTCTTCTTCTCCTTCGGTTATACATCGTCAAAATCTTGCTCCATACTGCAGTCCAAACAAAAAAGGCCACTCTGAGATGAGCCTCCGAGCACCAAATCGTCTTCCAAGGGAAATCAGAACCATAGAAGTTGGAAAGACAATAGAACAAGGAACAGACCTCAAATCTCCCATTCTCCCCCGAGGAGAGAGCACCCAAAAGTGTTATTAGCTAGCATGGAACATTTCAACAGCAAAAGTCATGGAGTTGAACTTTAGGGCTGCTTGACGGATTTGAAACTTAGCACTGAAATTTTTTGGTGCTGAATGTGTAATATGGAAGACCTTATGTTGCCAAAACAGTATGTGGGATTAATTTGCCAATTCAAATACTATCAAAAAAAAATTTCTTCCATTTACTTATTCTGCAACGAGTGAAACCTGAAAAGACATGTTTTCCTGGCTGAAAGTGCAGATCGCTTTAGGTTAGTATAAGTTGTTAATAATAATTAAATTTGTGCTATTGAACCCACTTGAAGGAGGATCCGCTTGTATTTTTTGTGCAGCACTTGAATAAATTCATCAAACAGCTGGTTCTTTTTTCATGCATAATATTTACCAAGGGTGCTGCCATGGAAGTTCCCTACAACTAATTTCCTGGGAGTCACTCTCCTATTATCGATTAAGGGCACAATTGGACGTCCCATGGAAATTGACTGATTCTGTTATCCTCCCATATATATTTCGAGGATATAATTTCAACATCTTAAATGGAGCCATTGAAGAACTTGATCCATTGAAATTGATGGTCCTGGATTATATTTAGAATTCCATGATATAAAGGATCTCTCTCTCTCTCTCTCTCTCTCTCTCTCTCTCTCTCTCCCTATATATATTATTATTATTATTATTATTATTATTATTATTATTATTATTATTACTTGTTATACTAATGTCATGATGGTAGCTGTAACTTGTTACCCCATTCATTTAGAATGTAAAGACAATTAGGACGACTCAAGTTTCACACGTAATTCAAATGTGACTTAACAGTATCAGCAAAGCTACTAGGCCACAAATATTTCTTTTTTCCTTCATCTAAGTGCCACAAATAACTTCCTTAGGGGGAATTTTTTTTCTAGAAAAGCCAATTATTTTTTCATTTTAGTTTATCTTGTAATTAAAATTTACATATTTCAATTTTTCAATCAATGTTTTGCCTTGCTTGGGATGATAGTATTTCTTCTATCCTAATACTCATGAAGCTCCTACTTCAAGTATAGATGGAACTTACGGACAAGAGCACCGGAATTTACAGCACGTCACATCAACCATACCTCCAAGGAATGATGAAAGCGTCACACTGCCTCCACAGCTTGAACTTGTTGGCCACTCAATTGTTAGTGCTTTTTCCAATTTTGAGCGAAATTGTGTTGATAATTGCTTTACTTCTCGATGTTCGCATTTGTCAAAGTCCAAAATTAGAGAACATGCACGCAACAGAATTTATAGATTTGCTATTTTCTTTTGCAGGCTTGCGCGTCAAATCCATATTCAGATCCATACTATGGAGGAATGATGGCGGCTTATGGGCCTCAGCCTTTGGTATGTGTACATTATCTCTTGGGCACACATGATTAGCAACCTGCTGTCCGTTCTCTTTCACCTGTCCTCTTCTTTATTATTCGTGGCCATATTTGTTTAAAAGAGAAGTGTATCTTCTCTTGGAATTTAATTCAACCTAGTGAATTATCCGCCTCATGTATGTGTCTTATTTGTTGGCAATTATAACTTTTTTCATCCAACTTATGGCAATAGACATATAGGTGTCTTGTCAGGAAGATCAAATAACATTGGTTTTATGTAGACACCCCGAGGTCCCCGATTCATATGATATGGCAGTTCAACAAAAATGAAATTTTGGCAGCTGTTAGAACTTGAACGGGTACTTAGTACTCTAAAAATAGGTATTTAATGAGTTGTTAGTCCTTTAAAAATAGGTATTTAGTGAGTTTTTGCACAGGGGAAAAATTAAAACCCGGTCAACCTAGTTGACTGTTCTAAAATCTTCCCAAAGTAAAGTGGCATTTTTTGCATGGACATCCATCTTAGGGAAGATTTTGACTCAAGATAACCTAAGGAGAAGGAGACAGATTGTGGTTAAGTGGTGCTTTATGTGCAAGAATGACGAGGAAACAGTTGATCCTTCTTTTGCATTGCCCAATGGCGCGGGATTGTTGGATTTTGATGCTGGGGTTGTTCGGGTATCAGTGGGTTATGCCGAGGTCTTCCAAATGTTTGATTGAGGCTTGGAAAGGTTGTACAGTGGGGGCTCAAGTCCGTGATTTTTGGAGGGTTACACCTTTATGCGTTTGGTGGCGCATTTGGCTATAGAGAGAAATAGGAGATATTTTGAAGGAAAGGAAAACTGATGTAGGACAAAAGATCAGCCTCGAATAGCTGAAATAAATAAGAGTTGTGGCTGGAAATTCAGATAAACAAGGCTATGGTTCAAGAGTAGATAGTAGAGAAGTAAGATTGAAAATAATAGAAAAAAGCCAATTGGAATCACTCCAACAGGGCCTAGGTATCACACCTAGAGAAGGCCTCGTACCCTCAGAATTTGTGAATCACTCATAAAGAAACACAAAGGATATTTTTATTCATTCAATGATTGATTCACCAAGATTACATTCTACCCCTTTTATAGCATCTTATGACCCTTCGATTACCCCTAATTGAGGCAATCAATACTTGACTCTAACATAATAAAAGTAATCACCCCATAATTGAGGTAATCAATATTTGACTCTAGGATTACCCCATAATTGAGACAATCAATTGACACTCGGATTCCCCAAGCTGTGATTAAAGTTGACCAAATCCTATTGGGTCTTTGAAATTCTCCATTATTCGTACCCTTTTTTGTTGGGTTCTAGGGAGGAATTGTAAATCCATAGAGGAGTTTGTTGATCTTTTGGGTTCTTTGAGGCTTTAGCTTTTGTGGACTTTTGTAGCTCGTGGAATGCGTTTCCCTTTTGAATGCTCTTTAATACATTATTTACTTATATATAAAATTTGAAAAAAACCTTCCCAAGAGAGCTTGGTTGTGAAATTTAATCATAAATTTGTTGATTTTTATTACCCCCGCGCACAGGTCATTGCCAAAGTAATGTCAGTTTTCTTGCTAACAAGATAGTATGCATCATCACTTAGTTATTAGTTTTGTGACAAGTGAATTGAAGGTGGAGTATTTTACAAGGGTCCTTGCTGTAATTAAGGCATTTGTTTTGGTAGTAACCCTGTGGCAATGGCATTTTTGGATGCAAATGGATGATCGCTGTTGTCGTCTGTTTTTTTGGATACTAATGTATCATCGCTGTCGTCATCTGTATGTAAGCTGAGAGAGAAATCATTCGTATTAAGTTGTCTTGGGTTAAGATATTTGTAGCATTGACACTTCTAAGAAGGTCTAGTATTCAGACACGTGTTAGACACCAGCACTTCATGGACTTTCCCAGACATGTGTCGTACATTTTACAGATATGGCGTTATGTCTATAATAGTTTCATTTTTTTGCAATTAACCGACACAATTGGACACTTGGTAGAGATCTTGGACGCTAAGCCAACACATCGCATACACTCCAACACAAGTCCTATATAATATAAACATATCTAAGAGTAGGCATGCCCAAAAATCTTGGAAACAATATGAAGACACCTGTGTCCAACATTTTCTTGACATTATGCATATGTCAATACAAGTTAAGTATGCAATAAACAATTTTTAAGGGGCAAAAATATGATTGTAATGACAAAGTAGGAGAGCGGTAGCATATGTAATATAATTCTCTCTTAAATATTCACATACTTTCATCTTCTAAATTATGAAAGTTAATTAAAATTTTGTAATTGTCAGTATATATATAACCGTGTCCATGCCTTGTTCATTTCCTAATCTTTTAGGATTTGACGTGTCATCGGATCCCTGTTGTATTGTGTTTCTGTTCCGTCGTGTGTGCTACTTGGATTAAAATCCCATTTATCAGTTTTTCAAGAGCCTTGGTAATGTAACTCCTAAACTTTCAAGAAAATTGGTGCACTTTCCTTGCTCCGGTGGGTGGGGAAATAAATATTTTCTTGTAAGCCTAACCAATTATTTTTTATTTATTTCATTATTATTATTATAATTTTGTAAAAAAAGGGGTTGAAAATTCACTAAAATGAATAAAGGGGCATACCCAAGTTGATTAAAGCATACAAGAGATTTGAATTTTGACCAACTTTGCTTACAGAGTGTAAAACTGGATAGAGGAATGAAGAGTCGGTTGATCATCTTCTATTGCATTGCCCTGTGGCTATGGATAGCTGATGGTTGATTTTTGCTTTGTCTGGAGTTCATGGGTTATGCCTCGGTACTCTCTCAGTTTGATTGTGGTTTGGAGAGGGTGTACAGTGGGTTCCCAAGCCCATGACTTTTGGAGGGCGGCGCCTTTATGCGTGTGGTGGTTTCTGTGGAAGGAAAGGAGCAACAGATCCTTTGATGGCGAGGAGACTACTATTGGGGAACTGAAATTCTTTATCATTTGTTCAATATTTTGTTGGGTTTATGGGAGGAATTGTAAATCGATGGGGGGGAGAGTTCAGTTTTTGGACAGTTTGAGAGATTAGGGTCCCTATTTGGTCCTTATTTGTTTTTGTGTGCCGCGTTCCCCGTTTGAGCGCTCTTTTACAATCTTATTAAAAAAAGAAGAGAGACTGGATAGTTTGTCTAGTTCAGGTGCAAACTAAGTTTTCTAAATGAACTGAGCTCGAACAGTTTAATGCTCGGATGAGTTCAACCTTCTTACATCCCTGCTCAACAGTTTTCTATTTTCCTATAATCTTGTTTCATATATCATGGAGAATTTGTCATGAATTTGGTCTCAGGAGGGCTGTGAAGACACTTACCTCTTTCACTTCCTGCATCTTAATTATTTTTTGGGATTCCAAACCGACCATGTGAAGACCTTGAACCCTTCCTTGATTTATTTTTTTTAGAGCTTCAGACACCATTTGATGGATGATAAAACTTAAACACTAAGGAATAAAACCACAACTTATCTTGCTTTTACTTGTTGATGGAAAGTGTGTTCCCAACCAACCAACAACTGTTCTTACAAGAAATCCTTCCTCCATTTTCATCAAAACTTAGTCATTTTTTGTGGCGAAAATTTCTGCAAGCAGAATGGTTATTGGGCAAAGCAAATTCCCTTATTTCTGTATCTTTCCCATATTTAATTCGGCCTTCTTGGGAGCTGTTTTCCTATTTGAAATTCCTAGTAACTAAACAGAGCCATCAATAAATCATCAATCTGAAATTTTCACTAGGTAACTCTGAAGATTACTTAACGAGCTCGAAGCTTGTCTCAAGAGAATGCACATACAAATTATTTGCTTAATATGACACATAACTTAATGGTGGTCTATTCTATTGTTTTTTTTTTTGGAAGTCTGATATTCAGTTTCCTCTTCTAGTACTTATGGATATCATTTTAGGTTGAACTCATATATAGTTAATAGTTGGGCTGAAATGAGGCAAATTCAAATTTCTAATGAATGTTTAGTCCCAATAAACAAGTTAAGTAGGAGCTAAATATTCAACAATGAAGACTACAATCCTCAATGCCTTACAGTGGGGGAGGCACAGTGACATGAAGAATTTTACTTATTTCTTAGGTGATGGAGCAATGCTTCTTGCTTTCAGTAATATTCTTTTTTAAGGCAATTAGAAAATGTTGATACTTTGTGGTGGGAGATGCAATGAACATGGAAGCCATGACCTTATTATTGAGAATTTACCTATCTAGGAAACTCTTTCTTTATAATCACTTGTGACAAATGGCTTGAAGGTTGGGGTTAGCTGCATATTTTCTGCGGTCATCCATGTGCAGAATTTATATGTAATTCTTTGATAGAGGAAGGAGATCACTTTAGATGACTTATGGGAAGCTTTCCACCTTAGTTCTTTTTCTTTGTGGTGTCTTTGTTTTTTATTTATGACTTTTGTTGTTTGGGTATCCCTCTTTTTTTATGGACTGATATTATTCATGCTACTTATACTTTCTCCTTTTCATATGATTTTCAGTTGTATACCATCTGCTTTCTTGATGCATCATTGTTTTTATCTTTAGATGGTTTTGGAATCTCTGCTAGGCGTACTTCTCATTTTGATATGATTTTGATTTTATGATGTCAGTTTTCTTGGACGTATTATTGTTGTTAAATTTGGTTGGTTTGAGAATGTAGAATAATAACTCTTGGCATCTATAATGGTTTATTCTTCTTTACGAATGAATCACAACTTGAGATATTTGTATTTGACAAAATAATAAATTTAGCAGGTTCATCCTCATTTGTTTGATATGCATCACGCTAGAATGCCTTTGCCCCTTGAAATGACACAAGAGCCAGTTTATGTGAATGCCAAGCAATACCATGGGATTCTGAGGCGAAGACAGTCACGTGCCAAAGCTGAGCTTGAAAAGAAGCTGATAAAAGTTCGGAAGGTAGATGTCCAAATATGCTTTCTTCTAATGTTCAGAATTTTTGGCGTGTTTCTTAGCTTGGTCTCTACTTGTTCATTAATCCAGGGGAACCCTTGTGAGGTTGGCCTCAATTGGGTGCGGGGGATGTTCAAACCTGAGGACCTCAACCTTGTTAGGTTGGGTACTTGACCGCTCCCTTGGGGTTTGCAGCTTTTAATATTAGTGACAAAAGTTGAGGAGAAGCTGAATATACTTTGCCACCAATAGTGTTTGAAATAGCATTTAATGAATGTCATTGCTATCACAAAAGTGATTTATATGCTGATGATGGTATTGGATGTTAGGTTTACGTATGCGCATCTAGGCATGCTTCTAAGATGTTACTTGGTCTGGAACAAGTAGGGAAATTGAGTATCTTATAGGATCCTACATTAAGTTAATTATTAAAATTTTTCAATCACATAAATGGTAGTAACTGACAAAAATAGCAAAACTATGGATAACTAATGTTCAAATTGGGGAAGATCATTGTGCAACTGATTTTGAGCGATGCTATATATCGGATAAATATGATACTTAATAAGCTGGCTGGGCTATGTAGACACTTCTGCAGGGAACCATGTTCTGCAGGGAGCCATGTCCATCTTGGACATGCCTAGATAGGTCTCCGACACTTTTTCGACACCACTTAACACGTACTAAAACAGGCATGGCTCGCCGCTGAAGTGTCTACTAAACACATATTTGTAACTTTTGTATTAAGACTACATAATATTAAATTATTAAATGAAATTGAAAACTATAATGTTTCCCAACTTTTGCCCCCTATCGTGGTGAAGAACCCCTTGAGGCTTGAACCATAAAAAAATTGCAAATCAGAGCAAGCCGCTAATTTGCTGTTACTTGCATGATAAATTACTATTTTATCCATTAACTAAGCATTGTTGTTTGGTAAGTTGTGCTTTTTTAAATCTCACTTCTGATGAAGTTATGCCATTCTAGGATTAAAAAAGAAACAAAAAAGAACAAGAAAACCCTGTATTTGAGACCCATCTGACTCAATTGTTTCCTCACTGCATCCACATCCAAAAGCTTTTGTACCTATGTGTATGTGTACACTTCCTAATATATATACATATAAATATATAAAGCGTCGGGTGACTACTAGGATTCTTGGGGGAGACCTCCACTAGCTCCTAGTCTGCAAATTGCCTTTCCTCATTAAATCGCTTCCTTCAACCTGCACTGCCTTTATTTGTCATTGTCTTTTCAGTTTCCACCAATGCGAAGCTTTTGTGTTGAAGTGGACGAGATATAGACCAAAACCTACACTGGTTATAGTCTCTACTCTTTAAGAGCAACTAAAAGTAACTATACTCTTTAAGAACTTCAAAACCTAGTAACAGAAGAAATTTTAGATTGGAATTTCTTTTTAATATCCTATCTTTTTCTGCATCTGCTGTTGGTTCTTTACTGTGTCTAGAATGGGGTTTAATGTTCTCAAGGATGGAGGTCCTCTGACTAGTTTTTCTTTTATTCTCCGTTGACTGGGTAATCAAAAATAAAACCTAGAGATCTCAATAAACTATATTAACTTGATTTTATTTTAAATTCCAGTGACTCCACTTTTCCTCACTTGAAAACCCAAGAGAGGAATGGATTATATGTATTAATCTTTGTGGCATGCTTGGTTTGAGTATTACAATACCTGTTGTCACTCTGATATATCATTGTTTTATTATTTGCCTTGTTTTCTTCCTTATCCTACAGCCATATCTTCATGAATCCCGGCACCAGCATGCTATGAGAAGGGCCAGGGGTTCTGGAGGCCGTTTTGCAAAGAAGACTGAAACTGAGGCGTCTAAGCGCAAAGCAAAAGAAAAGGGAACAGGTTCAGGTTCAGTCATCTCGTCACAGTCTGCCAGTTCCTCAGGTTCCGAACCTATGCCCTGTGACTCCGCTGAAACCTTGAGTAATCATCAAGAAGCAAGACGACCCAACGAGCATGGAAGTTCCGAAGCACGCAGATACATCAATGACAATGGCCAGTACCACCAGATCCACAGCAGCTTCCGTACATATAATTCGCGCTTGGCCAAGGGAGGAGGAGGGGGAGGAGGGGAAGGAGAGTCTTCGGGCCAGCAATGGGGAAGCATCCCATCTCGCAAGGCTTCGCAGAAGGCCCTTGCCATCTAGTGAGCTCTAGCATGTGGTGGTGATGGTTCCAAGGAGGAGGATTGTCTCTATCTCATCTAAAGGGTGACATCACTAGTGAGCTTTCGTTTTCCTATGTCAAAACCATTCTTGGCTTTTTAAAGGCTAGGCGGCAAATCATTCTTGGCTTTGTTTCTTTTGCTTCTGGTTGGTGGGGTAGAAGAGATGAGAGATGATCAAATAGGTCCTTGTTGCTTCTATAAACTTTCACATTTCTTCTTTTACATGTTTTGTACATAGAATGAAGAAACCCATGTAGATTTAGAAGAGTTTGGGGAGATTTTAGGAACCATGTAAAGTTGACAAATGCTTGATCGTCTTTTATTGTGTATCATCTTACCAATAGGATTTAAGGTTGTGACTTAATGTAGTGTTTGAAATGTTGGATGGATTATGAATTTGTTTGATTTCTATCAATTCTTTTTTTGTCCAATACAATTACTATAAAATCTAAATTGTATATATTTTTCTTCTTACCTGACATAATACAAGTATTGTAATGACACGTCACAAGTAATAAAATTTAAACTAGCAAGTCCAGAGAATCTTATGTTATACAAAGTTTATACTTAACAAGTACATAACTCTCATTTCTTAGGGTAATCTATACTTAATAACCATTGATTACATGTGAAGTAGAAGAAATGAATATATTTAAATGATAATAAACGTTGAAAAGTATAAATAGTTATAGTTATCAGAAGTTTTTAATATATATTTTGTACTTTATAGGCATGCAAACTAAGGCTTAGCCCAAGTATTATTTTCCTCCTTACAAATGGAAGATTGAAGTATCGAGTCTCATAGACCCAAATCATCTAGTAAAATGAGTAAAATGAGGTTGATGAATCATGGTCGGGTTCCAAAAAATATATCATGGTCGGGATACCTCAGCTGCTAGAGCAGAGACTGAAAATCCTCGGTGTTGGCTGAGAAAAAATAAAATGGGTGCAGAATAATTTACACGCGCACACAAGTATAGGAAAAGAAAAATTAAACCAGCCTAATTTGGTCTGAGAAGAGTACACCTGGGCGTGCGTTGGATTGAAATTTTAGGCTGACCTAACAAGTCGCGCACACACCCTCACGAGTCGACGCTGAGGGCAGCCCCGAAGGATTGAAATTTTAGGCTGACCTGACAAGTCACGCACACACCCTGACGAGTCGCACATACACCCTAGTACATGTTCCTCGACGCTGAGTGCATCCCCTAAGAGCAGGACGTTCAAGGCCGAAAGTGGCCTAGACAGCAACCAAACTTTGTAGCATGATTAGAGTACTAATAATGTTAATCACAGAAAACAGAATGCTAACCACAAAACTGAAACCTCATTTTTCACCAAATACTCAATTCATTGAGTTTCCAATTGATGCACATCTTCTCAAGTCAATTCGGGACTTCAATAAGATGTGTCCGGCTAAAAGTAGAGTGAAAATCTGCTTCCAACACCTGTACTCACCCCGGTTGGCCTGGCTGTTCTGTTGCTATGGAACAATCAAAATGAGCTTAGATGTGACATGATCAAATCATCGAAACATTATTGGATGCTTAGGGGTCGCAATCAACAAGCCTGATCTTCTGCTGAAACAGCAGCTCACCTGATATTTCCAACACGTATGTCGTTACTCTTCACCTGTTCGGCTAAACCACCTCAAAAGCCGAGGTTCCTGAACCTCTTCACCTAATGAAAGGGCACCTGAAGAATATATTACTTGAGCATTCCAACAAAATAGGGATAGACAAAGCATAAAGCATGCCAATCATCGTCAGCTAAAGGTCCCTAGAGGTAGCAACCATCATTTCCACGGATCCGTTCAAGGAAGCGGACTTGAGAAATAATTTATTGTCATATTTAAACTTATACACTCAGATATTCAAAAACAAAATAATAATTATAATTATAGAAAAGGTAAAAAAAAAAGAAGAAAAAACTGTAATCTATCATTTGTTTGGGATTTCTTGTTCTAAAATCATATATGAGTACGATGTTAATGATCATGATCAGTATCCATGTTCTCGAAAATTTCTTCGTCATGTTGCTCTGACAAGGTTTCTTCATCCATGTTATCCGAGGGAGCCACCTTTTCTGATCTTCTTGTGTCCCCATCAGTAAAATTGTTGGGTTCGGTGGCATTAACCACGGGTTGCTGCTTCTCCATCATCCCAGACAGAGCTAAACTTGGAGACCACTCGAGAACATCATCAATAATGTTGGAAACCCGCTTCTGATACCTGCAAAAAAGAAGACATCCTACTTTATATCCATGCATCGCAAATATTCTAGGCAGACAGTTCTAGTGGATAAAGGCATGCCTTTGGGCTTATCTGTACATTCAATGGCATCAATTGCACGTTTAAAACATGCATTGGCTTCAAAAACAACCTCACACTGTACGGGTGAGTTCCCGACACAAATCCACCTTCTAAACTATTATTTTGCATTAATGAAATTCTGTAGTGCATCATAATCTCTACCAGCTTGAATGTTCTTTGATAAATATAAAGGTGACCACCCCAGAAAGCAGGATTAGCTCTAAACTAGGAAATTAAGGCAATTGCCTAAGGCCCCACGTGTTAAAAAGTCCCCATTATACATCTCTTATGTGGAACCCTTTGTAGCTTTAAACTCTCAACAAGTCTTGATATTTGCACACAAGTATATTTAATTTAATCACCAAGCTTTAGCGTGAACGGTATCACGTTCACTTCCCAAGGAGAAGGTGATGTGTCTTACCCGAAAAAATTTAAAGTATACATTCTATTCAATGTTTAGATTACATTGAAATATGAGAGAGTTCAATAGAATTTTTTATTTTTTTTGATAAGTATGATAGTTCAATGGAATTTGAAGTTTGAAGTATTCAGCTTCAATTAATTTTCTTTTCTGTACTTTTTTTGTATCCTTCAAGACTTCCTTCTCACATGTTATGATCTTTTCTTATTCTATTAAACATTAATCGGTTAACATATAAAATATTAAAAGGCTTCCTAATTTTTGCCTTGGGCCAACTTGTATCAGACTGGGTTTGCAGAGGAGGGGGAGGTCGTCAACCATTAAGAGATCTTGCTTTGAATAGAAAAGCAAGACCAACAGCTACTAGATGAGAAACCACCATAATCAAATGATTCCAACTGTTGAAGAATTCTGCAACACCAGTCAGATATGCTATAAACTTTTCAAGCAAGGCTACTTCCCAATATTTTCAGGAAAGTATATTCTTAGGACTGACCAACCCTATATTAGCATGCTAATTACAAAGACACGGGAACTTTTAAACTTAGTCAAGTTGTAAGTTTCCCAAATCATAGTATTATCCATTTTAATCAAGAGATTTCGCCCTTGTGCAAATAGAATAGAGAAATTAGCTTTTTACTTTCTTGTTAATCAGGTTTAAAAAGGATGAAACATAGAAATGACCTGGCTCTAGCAGCCTCATCAGGGGCATGTTGCCTCAGAAGTAATATGACCAGCACAGCAACTAATGCATAGAAAAGCCTTGCTGTCCATTTTGGCCGCTCCTCCTCATCTTTCTTGGGCCAAAAACGGAATAATTCTCGGAGAGTTGCTTCCTCTGCAAGGATGTTAGGGAAAAACCAAACACGCTTTCCAACAATTGTCCACATAACACCAAAGATTGCAGCCCTCACTGCAAGTAAATACATATTCTCAGGAAACCCAAAATGCAAGAAGCAATAACAATCAATCACATTCTCAGTAAACCCAAAATACAAGCAGCAATAACAATAAAGCACATTCTCAATAAACCCAAGATACAGGCAGCAAATTCAATACAACCTATGAGCCAAAAGAGCTGGTAAGCTAGATAGCCTCTAAAAAAACAATACGAAAAAGCACAAATGTACAGGTTGCACTTGCTGCAAGGGGCGATGGGCCAGAGCCCAAGAAGGTCAACAGGGCTCGGTTAGGACCTTTGATCCGGCTCAGCTAGGTTCTTCCATGACCAGGAAATTAAGAGAACAGCCAAGTAAGGAGGCATATGTACATGATTCTTTAAAAAATTGAAAACATACTTTTAGTTTAATTGATGCAAGAGTAAAAATTTTAGCTAAAGATCCATTTTCTCTAAAAGGAAGTGTCTGAACCACTGAGTAGTTGTTCCTGAAACTGATAATATATATATATATAATATTGATGATGCTGAACACAGAAAGTATGTTGTAGGGGGTACTAAATATATAATATATTGATGATGCTGAACATAGAAAGCATGTTGTAGGGGTACATTCATCTATAGTCCTCATCAGTACCAATAACCACATGACATGTCAGCATAATTGGGGATTTCAGTGTATCAAAACAACACCCAATTGCAACCCAAATAAACTCTGAATCATATTGATTTTAATCGAAGGGTTTGAATTGAAATGACTCGAGAAATCATCTTTATATTGAATCTATGTAGATTTGATCCGATTAAGATTAGAGTCTGATTAAATTTTATTTATATGGTAACTTTCTGATATATTTCTACAAAGATAGTTTAATACTCTTAAAAAGTATTATAAAAATGTAATATTGATTTTTATATATATATATAAATAAATAAAATAAAATAAAAAACACACACTAATTTCATATAATTGTCTCCCATTTGGATTGAAGTATTTTTTAATATTTCATCAGATCCAAACACAGATACTCTTAGGATCCATTATATTTGGATTCGAATATGGGCCGCAGTATATATAACTGCAAAGGCTCAAGGAACAATGCCATTGGTGCCAGTGTTCAACTTGCATATGATGTTCCTCACATGGCAACCATCCTAAAATAAATTCTAACACATTGATTTAAGAAAGATGAGTGTATGTCTTGACCAGGTAACAACAATATACAATGGATACAGGATAAAAGAAAGATAAGTGCTATAAAACTAAAAGAGAAACATAAGCACTAGAAAACTTACCAAAAAGCAGAGAGAGTATAAGTAGGAGGACCCCTGCGCACGAATAGAGTATGAGTAGCTTGCATCGATGGGGATATACAGGAAACAAGCAGATTGCAAGTGTCAACACAGGCCAGAAAAATGAGAGAAGTGTTTGCCAGAGTGGATGTCGCTTTTCAAATGTCCAAGCAAAGAAGGCATCATTTTCAGAAAAAACTTGACCCTGCAAAACACAGTCAACATATACAATGTTTATAATTGACCTGCACAAACAATTAAGCAATGATGTCCTTGACTTATTAGACCAAAGATAGATAAGACTGCTACGATGGGCAACCTCAAAACCCCTCAAAGAAACTAGACATAAGTGAGCCATCAGTAAAACTCAAAATGTAGATAACAATCCGGATGCATGGTTCAGCCATTCTGAGTAAATACAATATATACACATTTACCCTTTCTGACTAAGAAAAGGAGAGATTATATTTATCAAGAAATCAAAATGCATAGTGACATAGAATCCTTTCATTATTGAAAGCACAAAGGGTCAATGCTTGCTAGGGTAAAAGCTCAGACTGACAAACATGAAGGCATGGGTTCAAGTCTGACAGCAGCCACTTCGTGAAAAATAATATAAAATGTTAAGTCTATTTACAGTCTACCCTTTTCTAGCACCCCACCGGTCTAGCACTATGTAATGGCATTATAGGAGGCACACAAAGATAAACGTTAGATTATTTGAAACGTTTCAAAAAAACAAATATGTGTGTATACATACATATATATATATATATATATATACATATAATTTTTAAAAAAAAATCCAAGAAAACAAACACTTGTGATGACAAAATCCTGAATCTGTTTATTGGATGGGAAGGCTCCATATCTCCTTCATTGAAAATTAATTGTTAACTTATCCAAAATGTTTTGCCCAAAAATAGAACCATGTTAAAATTACCTAGTACACAAGGCACAAGGGCTTGGGCTCTTAGCACTCTTATAAACTAACAGGACAACACTTGTAGTTTTGATCCTTGTGATAATGGTAGTGGTAACAATGACGTCCCTCTTCAGTAGTTAATGTCCATACACTAAGGGCAAGAAATACCATACAACCACCCATGACTCATAAAAGTTAAAATTTGATGAATCCGAGAGACAAAAGAAAAACGAGAAAAAAAAGTCAGTATAATTTATAGTACCAAGGAGGCATCAAGTTTACATTGAAATTCACAGTAAGGTAGTTATTACCCAATGATTCAAATCCTTCACAACTTCAATCTAAATTGAAATCTACTATTGGTCCAGGTGTTAACCATGCAGCCCATGCCCAATCCACGTGGTAGCGGTACCACTATGTAGTAGCTTGTAGTGATGCATACAAAGAATAATGTAAAAATAATAAAAGAAACTTAAGAACTACATGATAGGTCCAAATCATAACTATGAGATTTTAATAAACTAAAATCTGATTATAAGGAACAAATCCACTATTAAATTTATTAAAACTGTAACTACATTATGAGAAATTTGATCACCACCACAAATCTGATACACACTTCATTTGTTTAGTTGAATCAGGAGTGGAGAAGATTCCAAGGATCCATCAAAGCTACTATTGCTTATAACGGGTATATGAGCCTCTGAGTTACTTGACTAATACTTTTATCTATAGCGTTACAGTTTCTGAACAGTTGAAACACCATAAAATGGATAATTTGGCCATAAACTCTGGTCAGAATTGTCTTATGCCTGCTTTCTCGAGAACTTTTACGCTGTTCAGGGTATAAAACATATACATACCAACCAATATACACCCCCACAAGCTGTCTTAAAACTGACACCACTCCGATTAGTGTTCCTACAATCTTGTACAATGCCCATGATCAAATGCACTATAAATGCCTTAATGATAATTTACCAACCAAGCCTACATCATCTAAATCAAAGAGCACAGTCGTATAAATTTTAAACATATACTATATTATCAGAAATATTCAGAATAAAGCACTAGATACGTTTCACTCACGTATTCAAAAAACTAAATATCTGATAGGACTAAACGATATGATTTAACGAATAGGAGGATATAGAAAATGTCAATCACCAATCACTGAAAGAAAGAAAAGAAAAATATATGGTTGAGTGACTAAAAGTAAAGATGCACTTTCTTTAGCATAGAGCCTATTAAAAAGCACGTTTGAGGGCCCTAACAAAAGGAGCCTGGCTTGTAATAGGATGAGGTGCTTCGAATAAGCCTTGACAAGGTGTTTATTTAACTATGCTTTTCCATCACAAGATGAGGCAAAAGTGTGTAGATACAACGTAATTGGATTTTTAAGGAGAGGACAATTAACCTAAATTGGTGGGCTGCTTTAAGCATGAAAATCAACCAAAAGAGAGTTTTGGTCAGTGTACTTGGACTTCCAATTCACTTCTGGGACATGGAAATGTTCAATAATATAGGGAAATGGTATGAGGGTTTTCTTGATATTGATGAAGATATTGCGAATCAAAGACATTCTGATTGTCTAGGTTGTTGTTCAAGCAGTCAGAATATGATGGATAATGGATTCCATAAAAGATTCAGAAAACGGTTGGTTCACGGAGGGTACAAGCAACAATTTGGGTGGAGGGATCTCCTTTGATGGTGGCAAAAAGCAGGGCTACACCCAGGACTGTAAATGAACCAAGCTTTCGACGAACAATTCAAACTCAGCTCGCTAAGAGCTTGGTTCGTGTTTGTTTCTTTAATAAACTAATTGAGCTCAAACAGTTTTCTCAAGCTCGTTTAATAAACAAGCCAATTTCAAGCACCTATGAGCTCGGCTCCTTTGTTCGTGAACTAACACCAAATGAATATATATATATGAAATATAGAGTGTATAATATACATACATATATGGAGAGTTAAATAAAAAATTCAAAATACTAACACTAATGAATTGTTAATTTTTTTTAAGTGGCTTCCAATATACGCTTCTGCTCTTTGAGATTAGACTAGAGTCTATAGATTTCTAATGATTTCCCTGCTTTGTTCTCACATACACCACCAAACAATTTTGATGCTGGCGATTCTACAGACTACACCTCTATTCTCACATACAGACTACACCTCTGTATGTGAGCTTGTTCTTACATACACCTTCGTTCTCAAGTTTTTCCTTCCACTTTGAAGTTCAGTGATTGTGGTCTACGAAATCCACAATGACGCCGGCGATTCTACAGACTACTCATCATGGTCCATACTCCTCTGGATGCCAGGGAGTTTCTCTCTTTTTTCTCTTTTAAAAGCTCCCATTTTCTGTCTCTACAGCTTTCTCTCTTTCTTCCAATTTCTTCCTTTTGGTGATGTTCTCTTCATCAAATGAAGCAATTGGTTCTAGCATTTTTCTTCGGGGGGTTGCAGTTTATTCTATCTCATAGTCGCCGAAAATGAGCCGAATTCCGAGCTTTTCCGGCAATTCTTAGACTGATTATACACTCTCTTCCCTCTTCATAGTTGATTTGAATAAAAAAAATTAAAAGAAAAATTAAATTCCTAAATCGTAGAGATACTTTATATATATTTGAATAAAAAAAATTAAAAGAAAAATTAAAGTCCTAAATAGTAGAGATACTTTTTAGATATACATAAAGAAAAAATAATTTGAATAAAAAAAATTAAAAGAAAAATTAAAGTCCTAAATAGTAGAGATACTTTGTATATATTTGAATAAAAAAAATTAAAGTCCTAAATAGTAGAGATACTTTTTAGATATATAGAAAAATTAAAGTCCTAAATAGTAGAGATACTTTTTAGATATATATATATATATATATATCTAAAAAGTATCTCTACTATTTAGGACTTTAATTTTTCTATATATCTAAAAAGTATCTCTACTATTTAGGACTTTAATTTTTTTTATTCAAATATATACAAAGTATCTCAACTATTAGGACTTTAATTTTTCTTTTAATTTTTTTTATTCAAATCAACTGAACGGGGGTTTTATTTTGAACGTCCCTGGTCAATAGGGTTTCAAACTAGTTTTGTTTGGGTTCTGATTCTTTTGCTCTCTCACATCTCAGCAACTCCAGCAACCTGTGGCTTCTCATGTTATGACGAACAGTTTTCAAACAAGCTTGACAATGAGCTTGAGCTCGAGCTTGGTTTGTTATATCAAACGAGCTAGGGGAGCAGAGCTCGAGTTTGCTCACTTATGTCCGAGCCGAACTCGGACGGTAATGCAGAAGCTCGGCTCAAGCTCGAGCTGAGCTCAAACACTATCGTAAAATGATTGAGCTGAGCTCGAACAACCCACTACTCAGCTCAGCTTGGCTCTTTTACAGCCCTAGTTACACCAGAAATTTAAGGACAGAGAACAGAAGATATGAAATGGCATATGGGGTGCACAGAGCTATAGCAACTAACAAGTGGGAGGAACCAAGTTGGGTCAGTGAGAGGAAGGACACATAGTAGGGCGTTAGGCAGGGAAACACAACAGAAACAACCCTATAATAAGGCTAGTTTAAAATACAAAAATGGGATTAGTGAGGCACATGTCAACCGAAATACTTTCCTAACAGGTCTCTGCTAGGCCAGATCGGGCCGGCAAAGGGGGAGAAGTAAAGAATATATTTGTGATCACACAGGTGGTTGCTTAGGACCAACCAGAGAGGAAAGTAAAGATTAGGACAAACCGGTAGTGGGGTATCAAGGCTGGCTAAAAGTCATGCTTCGTGGAATCGGCGGAGTCGTAACGGATTCAGACAAGACCAAGCCCGAGTCTCCCCGATTTATCATTGTGACGCGAAACTCATAACAAACTCAGAGAAAATCAGTGAGAATCGGCCACAACTCCGGATAATAGGTCCAACTTGGCCGAGTCACTGGTACCCAATGCAGTTGTGCACCTTTAAAAAGCCTCCAGTTTCTCCCTCAAACTTCAAAAAGGCACAAGGTCAAACTTCACTCTCTTGCATGAAGAATAAGAGAGGGGGGGAGAGAGAACAACTACACAAGAACAATGGGTACTTTTCAACACAAAAAAAAAAAAAAGTGCGCGAAGAAAAAAAACTTATAGGACCAAGGGTCTTGTGGCCTAGTGGTATCTCCTCTCCCTCCCAAAGTGGATGGTGAGGGTTTGAGTCCTCAAAGGGACAAAGTGAGCGTGTGTGTTTTTGAGGTGGGAGCTCTTGGAGGGAGCCCTATTTCAGTGTCTCCACGTTTGCAGATGACACTGGAGTAATTAGAATGATGAGCTGATTCCAGTGAAGGATGTAATGGATGTCGACCGGTTGGCAAGGAAATCGGGGTACACCGTTTGCCCTCATTGTCATCCTTTCTCTTATTTCATTCAAGGACAAGGCAGTGCAGGATTCAGCAGTGGAGAAGTTTGGCATTGTTTGGCCTTGAACAAAGAGCATTTGGCGAGCGGCATGCCTTCAAAGGTTTCCTTCTTCTCTTAAAAAGCAGCCCTAGGAGCAATACCAACCATCAACAATTTAAGGAGAGTAGATGCTTTCTAACCGTCTTGTATGTATAATGGTGTGGAGGAAACAGCTGACAATTGTAGATCTTTGGAGCGTGTTGCTCTCCTTTCTCTCTTGAATTATTTGGGTGAAGAATCACTTCGGATCCTTAGATATGATGGAATGATGAAACGGGATTTTGCATGAAAATGCTTGGCTGCAATGTGGTATGAAAAGATGGGAATAGCAGGACTTCCAAAGAGAAGTATATGCTGGCACATGCTTTTAAAATTATGCTCCTAAACATGTTACAGTCTTGGATTACAAGGAAGTTTTCCCATAATTTACACTCTTCTGTAAATTTTGTAAGTGATTTATCTTTTTTTTTTTTTTGATAAGTGTAGGTGATTTATCTTTATGAATGGAGCACTTTATGTTTGCTCCAGTGTCATATTGTGTATATGGGTGCAACCCTTTTGGTGCCTTTGATTAATATATTATATTTCTCTTACTTCTTGGGATAAAATAAATAGATACAAAAAAAAAAAAAAAAAAGAAAAAGAAAAAGAAAAAGAAGATAGTGTTATCAAAGGCACTTCAACAAACATGAGCGGCAAAACCAGATGTCCATGTAGCTCAAAACCCTTACTGAAGGAGCAATAAGTCAATTACACGAACCATTAAAACTAAAACATTCTTTGTACTAGTGTACTTGGTCTATAGTTAAATAAGTACTTACAGGAAATATCTCTAAATGTGCTGGCCAAGTAGACAATTTTTTCTTCCCAGGACGAACAGTTTTTACCACACGATCACAACGCACTAAAAGATTCTTTCCCAGTAGAACATTGGCAATATCTTCTATTTCTAGATCTTTATCCGATTCTAGTATGTCTTTGAGTTCTGGATGATCTCTCAAGAAGCTAACAAAATCCTTTCCTCTGAAATATTCCACACGTGTCTCCTGTAAAACAGCCCACCTAGATCCCAAATCTTTATGGTCTCTCACTTTCTCAGCAAACAACTGAAATACATCCTTCTTGGCAGCTTGTTTCTGAAAATATAGAAAATAAAAAGAAAACCATATAAATCCATAAAATAGAAGAATACAGGATAACACAAATAAATTCATACGATCATCAGAAAAGGCAATGAGTCAGTTAAGCGCATTAACATGATACAGATTACCATAAAACATAAGGGTAAGAGAACAAGAACAATTAGCAAGAAAAGAAAACATATACATAGTTTGTAATACTGTAGGACAAGAATGGCAGGCTAGCTAAAAATGAACTAATAAAAGATATATTATAATAGCAAAACTGCACATTTGACCCCAACTGAGAAAAATATGTACTTAATGTTGTGGCAATAGACTTGTGGCTCTCTCTCTCTCTCTCTCTCTCTCTCTCTGTGTGTGGATTGCCATTTGGTTAATAATTTTCTTATAATAGCGATAATAATCAAATAGAACGATTAAAACCCAGTGTGGTCCACATTAGGCGAGGGTATTGAAAGGAGTAGGTAGGTTGGATACATAAATGACCTTTGTCATTCTTTGCACAAAGTGGCTGCTCTCAAGAGGCGAACACATATTCTCACGCTTGACAATCCAAGCATTTACTAGTAATCCAAGCATTTACTAGTGCACCAAGCAATGACCCCCTTATTGTAATGATCACATTAGAAAACAAATAAATAATTGGCAAAAAAGCAAAAACCTTGAACTCTTCCAAACGCATTCGGTTCAGATTTCAGAATGGGAGACACGTCAGGTTTTGAAAGGATTGCTGGTGTGGGGACATTGTGTTGGCTCGTAGGTTTCCTGGGCTCTTCAGGATCTCTGCAAACAAACACGCCCTAGTTGCTTACTGTTATCGTCTTAATGAATGATGATGGGAGGTTGACCTGGGACGTGCAGTTTCATAGAGTATTTCATGATTGGGAGCTTCCGGATGTCACGGAGTTCTTAGCTTTAATCTATTGTCGGGTGGTGGAGGGTGAGGGTATGGATAAGTTTGTTTGGGTGGGTTCCCCGAGAGGGGTCTTTGAGGTTAGGTCCTTTTACCAGAGCCTGATTGAATCCCCAAGTTCTTCCTCCCCTTGGAAGGCGATTTGGAGGATGAAGGCCTCCTTGAAGGTGGCCATTTTTGCTTGGACAGCCGCTCTTGGAAGCATTCTTACCCTTGATAATCTTAGAAGGAGACGTTAGATTGTGGTGAACTGGTGTTGCATGTGTAAGAAGACAAGAGAATTTGTGAACCATCTTCTCTTTCATTGTCCAGTAGCAAGAGATTGGTCTATAATCTTGGTTGCTTTTGGTATGGATTGGATGTTTTCTCGATCCACAGTGGACATGTTAAAGTAGAAATACAATATAGAAGAAAGAGAAGAGAAATATGTAGAAGGTTTGAATAAGTTAACTCTAGTATTTATAGATAAAAAGAGCACATACTCGTATTACAAGAAAAGAAATTAAATCAAATCTAAATCAAATCACATCATATCTACGGTAAGTCATTTCATAAATCGTGGCTATTATATCTGTTAACACTCCCCCTTAAGTTGGTGCGGGGATATTTGAAATACCCAACTTGGACAATGCATTCTCAAACAAAATCTTGATGACGCCCTTTGTAAGAATGTCTGTAAGCTGCCGAGAGCTTGTGACAAATGGAGTGCAAATTTGACTAGCGATGATTTTCTTTCAGATGAAGTGCCGATCAACAAATCAAAAATGTCTCCTTAAACCATAAACAATTAACAATGTCTCCTCGGACCGTAAACAACCAATCATGTCTCCTCAAACCGTAAACAACCAACAATGTCTTCTCAAACCATTTCCCTCGATACACATGTTTAAAACATGTAAATGGAAGAATCAACAATGTCTCCTCAGACCATTCCCCTTCATACAAATGTTTAAACAATGTAGATGAAAGAATCAACGTCTCCTTAGACCATAAAAAGAAACAACTATGTCTCCTCATACCATTTCTGAATGGGTGGTGCCAAACTCGCAACACCATCATTGAGGTCGGACTAACCTGCCTACCCGATACCCCCTGGATGGGCAATGTCACCTTGGACCATTCCCGAATGGGTGGTGCCGAACTCGCAATGCCCTTATTGCAATCGGACCACCATGACTTTGATACCAAGTAGAAATACAATATAGAAAAAAGAGAAGAGAAATATGTAGAAGGTTTGAATAAGTTAATCACTCATTCACAACTCTAGTATTTATAGATAAAAAGAGCACATGCTCGTATTACAAAAAAGGAAACTAAATCAAATCTAAATCAAATCACAGCATATTCTATAGCACAATCAAATCTCTGCTAATACGGTATGCCATTCCATAAATTGTGGCTATCATATCTGCTAACAGTTAGAGACTTGGAGGGGATGTATAGTGGAGAGTCGAGTCAAAGATGCTTGGAGGGTCGCTCCCCTTTGTTTATTGTGGGGATTGTGGCACGAGAGAAATAGGAGATCTTTTGAGGGAGAGGAATCTCCTTTTTGGTCTCTCAAACACTATATAATGTCAAATTATTATTATTATTATTTTTTGGGGGGTTGGGTGGGTGGTGTGTTAATGGGTGAAATTATAAATCTACAGTGGATCTTAGCGTAAAACTTTAATGTCACCATGGGTGTCTGTTGTAATCTTTTGGGTTCGCTCCCCTTTTTGAGCGGTTTTCACAATATCTTACTTATCAAATATATATATATATATATATATACTAGCAAGGAAAGACCATAAACTATCAAATATTAGCCATACCCACGTCGTCACCAACAGAAATAGGATGAAATTACAAAATACCCATAAACTGACATTTTTCCTAAAAGTCCCTAAATCAAAATATAGTGTGAGCGGATAAGAATTTTCATTGCCAGGTACAATCCTTTGCCTGAAGGCATTCTTCTTTTTACTGAATCTATCAATTGGGGAGTACAACCAAATTTCAAACATCAAAGCCCAGCAAGGGATAGGAAGCTATTCTGAATGTATTCCACTTGCCCAATGGATCTAGGAAGTAAGGAAAATCCAAAGATTGAATCCATTCCTGATGATATCCCAATGCAACAGCCTTTCTAGGGCCATAGCATTCAATCCTATCTCAATATATGCTGCTCCAAGGCCTGAAGATAGATTGTGTCCAATGCCATCCAGCATAGGCAGGTAGTGTTTACTTATCTGGTAGCAACGGTTGTAGCTACTCAACTTTCAACTATCTACCTTTAAGTGACGGGCTTAACAGCCCACCAGCCAATCATTCTTTTTATCTCAAATTCATGATCTTTGGTGCCAGTGGAGCAAAGAAAGCGGGGCATGAACTCCTCTATCTACCCTAGAAACGGGTTAGTTATTTTATAATCCAAATACATCCAATAGAAGGTGTCACGTGTCTAGAATTTTATAAATAAAGAAAAGGAAACTCTATATATGACCCGCTACAATTAAAATGGCTTAACTATTTTACTGTTCATTCAGTTACAACCATTATGATATACACCAATGTATGGACAAGACCGCCATGGTCAACTGCATCGACTAACTAATGTCGCCAATGACTTCTTGTTAGGGTGTCTTGCTCCCTCTCAATATTTGGTTTTGATTTTTTGTACCGAGTTCTATTATGTTGCAAATATCTGTCAAATGAGGCTGCCCTTGTTACGCTGGAACGGAATGGAATGGAATGTCCATTCCAACTTCTCATTTCCTTTCTCATGTCTTGATGTAGAACAACTGGCTCACGAGTATATGAGCACACAAGATCACTGCAAACCAGGGAGGCTGAAAAGGTAAGGAGAGATATACAAGTACAGAAAAAAATAAATAAGGAAAAGTCAACAACAGAAAAAAGGAAAAGTTGAAAATAAACAAGAAGATTGGTGGTGGAGTTGACAATAGGCGGCAACATGATTGGTGTAGTTGCCAACAATAGACAGCTTGTGAAGAATTATTCTCCATTGCAAGATTTATGGAGGACTCCGCTCCACCAAAATTTCAACAGATACCTCTTTAGATTCCTCTTTAGTAGTATTTTACGGAGTGCTTTAATGAATGTAATAAGTGTTTTATATAAAGGCAAGAGATGAAAGTTTGTAGCTAGACAACTATCAATACAATCTCTTTTAAGTGTGTTCCTTGTGAATTCAATGGTTTTAACTCTGTTCTTTATAGTTTCCATTACGTTATTTGGTATCAGAGCAAGGTTCCGAATCCAACATTCGCCTTTGTTTCGATGGCCGATTCACGAGATGGAAGAAACCCCTCCAACGACAGTGATCGTGATGGAGTAGCTTTTGAGGGCTGAGTTTATTGAGGTCCAAACAAACGTTAATCAAACCTTGCTTGATACGCATGAAACTATGCGTCAACTATTGGCGAGATTGACAACGGTAGAACTTAACCGCGAGAACAATAGGCTGCCCAACGACGGTTTTCACGGACATCTTGCTGGTAATCGCCAAGGGCGGCTCAATATAATTTGTGGCCTTAGGCAAAAAAAAAATAAAGTGACCTTTTAGTATAATCTACTCATATGTTCATGCTGGTAATATGCTCAATATTTGTTTTGTGATTTTTAAACTTAGCACTAAATTTTTTTCAATCTTTAGTTCCATCATTAGTCAATTGGTTCTGTGTTTTCTAGTAGATAAATTCAACAATACAAATATAAATGATGACAACTCACAAACCAAATATATAATTTATGATAACAAAAATTAATAAAACTATAAACTAATTTAAGTTATAGAACAATACAAACGGATTTCGAAAAATTTGGTCCAATGCACAAATTCTTGAAGAATGAAAGTGTATTCAAAATCTTATGACGGAGCGAGATAGTGATATTGTGAATTTTAAGAGTGGAGAAGATGAAAAAAAAAAAAAAAGTTAAAATGACAGGAACAAAAAAATGTGAGAAATAAAAACCAAAAAAAAAAAAAAAAAAGAGGAGATAAAAGTTAATAGGAGTCTTAAAAAAATATAGAAAGTTTCACCAATTTCCACCATGGTTAAATATAAATTTAATATTT